CGCATCGTGGTGCAGCCCCCAGACGAGCCCAGGCCACCGCGGCGCAAGCCCCAGACCCGAGGCAAGACTTTCCATGGGTTCCTGACTTGGTCCAAGGGCCCCCCTCTGACGGGCCCCCCCAGGTCCCATCGAAGCTCCACCTCCTTCTCGGACACCCGATTTTGAAGGTCCCACTTCTGAGGGTGCCATGGACTCAGTGTCCCCCAACCTCAGTGACCTGAATGGCTGATGCCAGCCTCACAAATGGGCACCGCACTTTATCGCTGGGATTTAGGGGCTCAGCCAGCCTTCTTCCTGTCCATCAGCCAAGGGTAGTAAATGAACCAGGAGGCATTGGCTAGAAATAAATGATTAGGATTTATTCATAGTTCTTAGTGTTTGCAAACCCCGAACATGACTGGGCAACACCCGGTGTCCGGGTGAAGAGGAGCCGAGAGCTGTGCGGAAAGCACCTCCCTGCACGGCCGGAGAAGCGCTCTTCCGGGCGGCAGGCAGGCAGCAGGCGAACATTCTTTCCTCAGTTCCTCATTTTCCATAAGTCCTACCTATAGGCATCTCCAGGCATTGATGCACAACTGAGGAGCTCAGAAGTTCAACTCCTCAGGCTAATTAAAGTGAAATAAAGTACTTTTCCCCATGAACCTTCCGAGCAGCTTGATGAGCGACTCCGTTCTGAGTCAGCTTAGCTACACTGACTTCAACTTGTTTTCTTCGCTCATTCCTCGAACGGACTGTGCCAGGCACAGGATGAAGGAAGGTCACAGACTGGGGTTTGGGGGCCCAGGCCCACCATCACCCCACAGAGCTGTCTCCTTGCAAGCACAGAAGTGATGCTGAAGGAGCGTGGGGGTCAGGGTGGCCTGCTGGGCTAGGGGACCCCAAAGGACTCCTGGGGAGGCCTGGAATAAAGTCTGATTTAGCAGAAGCCTGGACGGAGTTGGATCAGATGTCCTCCACCCCCAACCCTAGACCAGCTGCCCTTCCTGCCCCTCCCTCCCCACAGCCCCGCCCCTCCTAGCGCCACAGACACACCACGGCTGCCCATTGGCTGCTGGAAGGTGTTTACCAGCAACGGGGCCCAATGGGGAGCCCGCCTTGCTCAGCCTCTTAGGGGCAGGTAGCACCTGTGGGAGGAGGGCTCCCCAAGTGGGTGCTGGGCCCAGAAGTGGGGTTTATCCCCTATTCTGCTTCTCCCCCAAATCTGGTTCAGGTCCTGGTGTGTGTGTGGGGGGGCTCTAACCCAAGTTCACACCCCACCCATGATCCGGGCGGGAACAAAAGCCTAGTGTGCCCAGGACAAAGGAGAAAGGTCCCGCTGGCCCTTGTCCCCTGCTGAAGCCTTGCTGCAGCCCCTGGGACTGCCACCATGGAAACCCCTCCTACACTCGTTAATTGCCCCCGTGGGTGCCTGGGACAGGAGCCATCGTCAGGACAACAGGGCTGGCTCCCTGTCCTGCTGCCCTTTCCCCTGGGCACCCTCCCAGCAGGGTGGGAGGAGGAGGGTGGGGCGTGGCAGGAGTGGGGGGTAGAGGAGAAAGCAGGCATGGAGTCCTGCTTAGATGGAGTAGTGGCCGGCCTAACCCTAACCCTAACCCTAACTGCCCTGCCAGCCTGCTTGCCTCACATCCCAGCGCCCTGGGCCTGACTTTCCTCCCTGCATCCACAAGGCAAATGCCACCTCAGCCGGGGCCTAGCCAGGGCGGTCTGGGAGTGGGCACAGAGCCACACGGCTCTCCGGGCATGGATGCACACACTCGGGCGGAGGGAAGAGCCGAGCTACCCACTCACCAGCTGTGTGACCCTGGGCAAGTAACACCACCTCTCTGAGCTGCACTGTCCTCATCTGTAAAAGGCAGAGATTCGTAGCTGCTACTCACAGGGTTAAGTGAGATGCGACACAAAGGCCCTCTACGCAGCACCCAGGACAAGGTCAAGAAACGCTTGCTGTCACTGCTACTGAGCGCCTGCCTTCTGCCAGACGCCCCTCGCCCAGCCTCTGTGAAGGAGGCCCTGTGATTCCCATCAGAGGATGAGAAAAGTCTGCAGATGCTGCAGAGCTTGTGTGAAAAACAGGCCACGGGTCCCAAATGAAGTCACTGATGCTAAGCCACACATTGTCACCAAACCAAGACTGACTGACAGCTTCCGCTCTCCCAGAAGCGGCATCTTAACCAGTCCGTCGGGAATCACCTGGTCAGCACCGGTTAGAACCCTACCGTCCACGGAAGGAATGCAATAGCCCACCTTGCACTAACCAACCGGTCTTTTGCCGAGAAAACTTCCTCGTTCAGGCCCCCTCTGTCTGTAGTCTGTCTATCTGTCTTTTATTTGGGGGGGGGGGGTGACAATTAGCTGTAATTTGGGCCTAGCTGGGACACCCTGAGCCTCAGGCAGGCTGGGACCCGGTCAGGCCAGGCCTCCCCTCCCCCAGCCCCGCCCCTCCCCCACGAGCGGTCCATCCGAGATTCTAATCAGGCCCACAACACTGTGTCCTTCCTTTTTTTTACACCGTGTCCTTCCTTGCCAGGACCTGACTGTTCTTTATCTTTAAATTATCCCGTAGTCTTTGCTTTTGCGCAGCTCCTCGGCTCTCTATCTGCTGGATTGGCTACTGCCCAATTTATGAATCATTGAATAAAGCCAGTAAGATCTTTAAAACTTAGTTGAATTTTTGGTTGTCGACACTTGTTAAGTGTCAAGCTCATACTCTTCAAGGACTTCCGTGCCCCACTCCCGCTGTCATGGCACCTCCTTCCAGGAGCCTGTGAGACCCCAGCAGCCAGCCCTGGATTGCTGTGTGTTGGGGGTGTGGGCCGGGCTGGGGGACCCTGTTTAAGTCACTCCTCCCCTCCACGACCCTCTAGTGGTAGACAGGGGATTGTCCTCATCGGAGGCTCTGTATACACTTGCAGAAAGGACCCCAAACCGCCAACCCTGTCCCAACAAGTGCCACGGGCACCTCAGGACTCTCCCCAGCCCAGGAGGCACATGGGGACAGCCAGGGGGTCACCAGGGAGAGGGTCTGAGGTTGGGAGGTGAGATGAGGAATTGCAGCAATAGCCTAGCCTACATGTGCTGGGTACTGGCACGTGCCAGTCCTGAACAGCCCCGTGAGGTGGGAACTAGCCCCATCTTAGGCAGGAGGTGAGTGGGGTTCAGACCAGAAAGGGGAGGTGCCCAGGTCCCACGCTGGAACTAGGATTGGAACCCACCGGCTATGACACACTTACACTTGAGTAGAGGGTGAGTCTCTGGCTGTGTTTCTGGGGGTGAATTCGTGGCTGTGAGCCACATCTCTTGGGGTGTGCTTCTGTGGGTGCACCTGGGTGTAAGGGTGTGTGTCTTGGGGAGGCTGTGGGTGTCCAGCTGGCCTGGGTGTTGATGGGCAGGGCAGATCCTGTAGATGACCCTCTCCCGGTGCTCAGACTCACGGGCACTCCCCCAGCCTGGGCACCCCCTTCCCTCTGGCCCCCAGTAGGGCAGAGGGTGCCCCAGGGAACTGGGACTGCCCTTGTGGGGACGCCTTACTGAGTGGTCACTACTCCTGTGAGGAGGGGCCCATGCACAGGGACCTGTGGCCGCAGGGCAGAGTGCTCCTGGCCGGACAGACAGCTGCTGGCTGCGGACACCACCCCGGGACAGCCCTGGTACCAGTCTCTGTTGGCTCCGCTCCCCCACCTTTCCCCCTCTGCTCGATCCTTCTCTTCCATTGGGGGACGTCCTCTCTGTGTCCCCGTCCTCTCTGTGTCCCCATCCTCATCTCCACAGCCTATGTCCGTGCCGCTCTGGGGGTCCGGCCACCGGCCCCGGGCTCTCTGTCTGAGGATGCCGTGTGCTCCTCCGTCGGTCTGTCCCTGGCCCTCCCGGCACCTGCCCCTTCGGGTCGGGTCGGGTGTCCTCCCATCCCAGGGACCCAAGACCTCCCCAGACTTCCCGACCTTCCGACGGGCGGTGGCAGTCTGGGCGGGCCTCCCGCGGGCGGTG